GGATTGGCATTGCAACTCAGCCTGTTCCGTTCTAAAAATGTCTCTGGGTCAAACACACACACAAACACATACACACACACACACACACACACACACACACACAGAGATTTACACACCTGTTGCCTGGCAACAAGAATGCTCTCTTGATCAAATGATGGTAGGAAATTGAGAGGGATGGTAGAGAGGGAGATACATAGCAGCAGTCAGAGAGAGAGACAGAGACCACTGTCACAGGGTTGCTAACTTAAGCAGAAGAAAACAACGGACAATTTCTTTTCAGGACAACTTAAGAAGACCTTTATCTATATACTATATATGCTTTTTGAGATGTATGTGAACTTTTGTATGTGGAAGGGATGGATGATAGAATCAGAAAGAATCAGAATTTAATCTGATTTAATTTTTAATCTCAGGCATTTTTCAATATCAGCTAAAATAATTATCAGTTTATTAATCAATTATAATCAAATAATTATCAATTATTTTGTAACAGTCAGAAATCGGTGCATTCCTGATTTTCATGTCATACAAAAGTGTCCCACATCACATATCAATTTAGCTACCTAGTAATTATATTATATATTATGCGTAGTACTTATGTACTTATGTGCGTAGTAATCTGTCCTCAACCATGCTCACATTCATAAAACCAAATCAAATCAATTTATAAAATCAAATCAATATCAAATTTAGTTAACAACACAGTAACAAATCCAGTGAAAAATGTGCACCAATGCAAGAAACTGACTGAACGTGACTAATTGTCTTCACATTTCACCCTTCAAAAAATGCATGCATTACCCTTCAAAAGTTTGGGGTCAGTATGATTTTTTAAAAAGAAATTAACACTTTTATTCAGTAATGATACTGTACATTAAATTTATCAAAAGTGAGAGCAAAGACATTTATAATGTTATACAAAATATTTTGATATTAAATAATAGCTATTCCTTTTTAGCTATTTCAATGTTTTTAGCATTGATAATAATAATAAAAAATGTATCTTAAACACCAAATCAGCATATTAGAATGATTTCTGAAGGATCATGTGACACAGAAGACTGGATTAATGGTGCTGAAAATTCTCTAAATTTTGAACAGAGTATATACAGTGTGTGTGTGTGTGTGTGTGTGTGATAGCAACAGCAAATGTAATGGTTTTCTTACCCAACTTGCAGAAAACCTGTTTGTTTTTCACATTCATCACTTTATTTGTTTTCTATTCTAATCTGTCATTTACAATGCAGACACAAAATTGACATAAATACCAAAGTGTTCTCAGCAATATTTCAGGAGCTAAACAAAAACGTGAGACAAACTGCATCCCGCATTGGATTTAACACGGGATGAGTCTGTATCATATTGTTATGGTTGGCAACCCTATCTGACATTCGTGTTTCCTTCAGAGCGCTGGAGAGACACTCTGTTCCCTCAGTTATAAGTCTGAAATCAAAAAGACCTTGTCTGCCTAAATAGCCATCTACTCCAAGTGACAAACAGGTCAGCATGATTCTGACACGTCCTCACACACTCAAACTTCACACCAGATAACAGCACACATCAGAACATTCATGTTTAACAGCAAAGATATAAGGACTTCTGTGGTTTTGACCAGCCACAGCTGCACTTCTCAAGCTTGAGTCTCTATTATTGTCTTTATCACAAACAGCATCAGCTAAAAAAAAATCCTTCTTCTTTTTTATGATTGAGATCAAATTCAATATGGGATGTCTTATTTACAAAATCCAGATGGTTTGGCTCAGACCCTGATTGATATTTGGATACAGAACGTGTCCGATAAGCCAAAGGGGTGCAAAGGAACATGGGATTTCAAAGCCATACAAATACAGATCGGACCCTCAAAGCAATTTGCCCCTAAGATGACGTGAAGGATATCAAAGAGAACAAGCACCACTGACAAAAAGAGAGAGAGAGAGAGGTGAAAACAGAGGTCTTTGATACTAAGGCCTGGAAACAAAATTATGGCTTCATATGGCCTGTTTTAGGACCTTAATGCTTTTTGTGACACAAAAGGACATGATGAATTACGATGATACACTGATAGTAGGAGGTGATGTGATAGACTGTCAGTCGAAAATGAAAGAAACGTTGTGTCAGTAACAATCTGGTAAGTTAGATGGATCTCACAGCAGCTTGTGTCAGAAAATAAACCCCTTCAAGATGATAAAAAAAATTGTGTCAAGGTCCTGATCACCCTGATGCAATAATGACAAATTATTAAATTATGACATTACACGGCTGCTTGCCAAGTAAATGAATTAATGTACTAAAATTATCAGAAATTATTTTATAATGTGAAAGAAAACAGACATGAAACTACAGCATAGCGTATGAGGTCATACACTCATTATACAAAAATATTTGACCAGCAAGAAACAACTATTCCAGAAAGCTGTATAATAATATCTTTCAAGTTTAATTTATCAGGCCACATGGTGGTGGCATATGGCAATTAGCATGCGCTTGTTTTAATAAGGCAAGGCATGGATCATGCTGGTATTTTTATTCTTGTATGATTTGTGCACCCTGAAAGGGAACACAAGAGACTCTAACTTTATGGAGACAACAGAGGCATAATTATTAACACACTAATGCACATGGATAAACACACGTTACACAATCCTGCAGCTCCTTCCCCAGCGTGCTCATGTTCTTTCACATATAAAAGTGGCAACAAATTCATATCAATTGGACCTGACAGCAAACCTACCACATTAAATGGTGTTACTCTTTTTACATGCTGAGAGGTTAGTCAATCATAACAGAGGTCATTTACATAGAGGTACAGTAGCAAAAGACTGTTTTAAAGGAGCAGCTCACCCAAAAGTCAACATCTGTCATTATTTACTCATGTAAATGATACTTATGATACTTTTATGGTGCTCTTCTGCCCTTTTGAAAGCTCCGGGTCTAATTTTTTAAAAATTGCGTGGAAAAAAGCAAGATGTGAATCTTTTGTGGGGGTCTTATAGGTTTGGAACAGCACAAGAGTGAATAAATTATTATTATTATTCTGTGATGCCTATTAATAAGTAACAATAATATTAATAATAATTGATTATTTATTATTATTAATTTTTAAATTATTTAAATTTTAAAAAATGACAAATATCAAGGATGCAAAATGCTTGTGCAAAAGTAAACCCTATAGTGTTTTGGTGCAAGAAACCTTGACTAACCTTATAAGTAGACCTAGAAAAAATATATTTATGATATGGGCTCTTTAAGATGTCTCCCTCACATCCTCAATATTATTATTTTATGACAAACACCTAGAACCACAGCTCACATGCTAATTTCAAACGATCTGCTGCTGTAGGTAAATGAGCAGACAGTTCATTTATAATTCTGCGGACGTGACCAAAGTATTCACTAAAGAACCACAGGCTTATGAGCTCTCTCTGGCACATGAATACAGGTCTTGTTTTAGCCGGCCTGCTGATAGCTTTAAAACGGATCCACAGAACTGATCAGTCCGGGCCTGAATACGGCTCAGCTGGTGAAATGCGGCTTAGCAGAAGCGAATCCCTGTGAATAAACACTCTTCCTCGGGGTCTCAAACTGGACAAATTGTCACCTGAACACACACCTACACAAGCTAAATAGGAGAGAGAGACTTTTCTCTGCAGTGTAATGCTTTGTGTCACAATATGGCATGACTGATGCCTTGATTTGGAGCTGGTATATCCGGAGCACTCTAGAGGCGCCGGCTACGAGAGACATTCATTACAACCACAGTGATTGTAGAAAAGATAACAGCAGCCAAGATTATACGGCTAATCGTGCTCTGATGGGAGGCAGCAGAAAGACGAGAGAGGAACCAAACTTTGTTTTCACCAATTACAGTCTAATGTTTTTCTACACACTGCTGCTTCCTGATGTTTGAGAACCAAACAATGACCGTTTAGCCTGAGAGCAGCAGAAATTCATCAAGACAATTTAGGTAAGAAGTATTATTGTCTTGTTTTTCAGTAAAACATCTAAACATCCTTAAAAATGCGATCAATTTACTTGGCGAACAATATGACATGCTAATACTTTTCACTTTTTATTAATTTATTCCAAAAATAAATAAAAATGCCATTCAAGCATACAAAGAATATATTTTTGTATGATTAGCATGTTTTTAATTTCCATATTAATAAAATATCAGGGTGATACAACTGCCTGATACCACTAGAAAGAAAAAAGCCCTTATTAAAAGAATGACATTTTTGAAAAGTATTTTGTAATAGTCTTTAATTTATTTAAATTTTTTTTTGCTTCAGTATTAATATTTGAAAAACATTTGTCTGTCAAATAAGCAAGTGGTGTAACTAGCATTCAGAAATAACTAAACAGGAATGACATCACAGAGAGTGATGCTGACTGACTGCGTGTCAAGATCAATTAGATATTATTTTAAAAACATTAAAATAATAGATATTTTGACTTTTGAGGCAGGTTAGTTCAGATTGTGGTGCACCTCCCCCAAAAAGTAATGACACTTTTTAATTAATAATTCCTGATCATTTTAAAAATGAAACATTTCTTGAAACATATATATGGAAAAAATATACGGAATTAGTATGTGTATGATCACGTGCAATCAAGGTATGGTGTAGAAACTAATGAGCACTTTTCTTTTTTCATGGACACTCTTACTTCTCATTAACCCCAGAAGCAAACTAGCAAAAAATACTAAGACCGATTTTCAGAGAACATGCAATTAATTAAGTTAATTTTTCTTACCCCATTGTCAAATTAGGCATAAACAAACAATATTTAGTGAGGTTCATGCCTAATTTGACAACAGGGTAAGAAAAATAAGCATAATTAATGGCATATTCTCTGAAAACATGTCTTTTAATATCTTACACAATTTTGCTTCAAGTTTTTAGACTTTGTTTTTAATTGGAAAAACTTTTTTGCAGTGTAACAATAATAAAAAAAATTGACCAGTGCAGTCTTTTCAACAAAGAAGGAAACACTGTTCTTACCTTTCTCCAGTGTGGTGATCCCCATGGAGGGCTGCCCCAGTCCCGTCTTCCTCTCCCACTTGCCCTCATCAGGGTGATACACTTCCACCGAGGCCAGCGGCCTCTGCTGTGCATCCATGCCTCCCATGACCATCAGCTGGTCTCCGACAACCACGGCAGATGCCCCGGCCCGTGCGGTGGGGAGAGGGGGCAGCTCGCACCAGCGCTGGCTCTCCAGATCCAGCACCTCGGCTGAGTCCAGAGCGAGGCCGTTCTCGCAGCAGCCCCCCAGCACATAGAGGCGTCCGGCCCAGAGCACAGGCGTGCAGTACACCCGCTGCGTGGCCATGGAGGGGAACACCTCCCAGTACAGAGACTTCACCGGGCTCAAAGCCATCTCGGGGATGGGCATGGCTCCAGGACGGCACGCCGGCAACAGAGCATGACACAGGCACGGAGGGGGAGGGCAGAGGAACGCAAAACTCAAGGCAAATGCATCAACGATCCACCAGGCTAGAGAGGCTGCAACTGTCAGTCTGCCAGAGACCTCTCTCGCTGGTAGGGGGAGAAGAGCGTTTCCTTTAGCGCTGTCTGTGAAGAACTAGCCCTCACTCCCTCTTGATGATTTATTCATTTTTGTTGCTGCTCTTAAAAGGTGCATCAGGCCCTTTTAAGTCTTTCCTGTCGTGTTCCACGAGCCGTGCAGTTGTAAAAATATATGGCAAGAATGTGTAACCCCGATACGAAATAAACTAATTTATCCACGTGGAACGCCGCTCTGTTGTCCTGCCAAATGTGTCGGTGCGACCATCATGGCTGCCGCTGCAAGGAACAGGAAAAGAGAGACAGTAACAGAGCAAGCACAAGATAAAAGACAATATAATCTCGCTAATCAAAGAGAAAATTCCCAGCTTGCCGAAAGCTGATGTGTGGACGGAGGCAAGCTGTTGGTGGAGCTTGTGGTGCTCATCTGATCCGCTCTTACACTTATCCAAATAAACCGTATAATTCAATGGCCAGAGCGCTGACATTTACCATTCACTATTTACTGCCAGGGGCTCAAGGGTAGATGTACGTGCGTGTGTGTGTGTGTGTGTGTGTGTGTGAAGATGTTTGGCCACAGAGCAGCAGTCTGGCCCTCTCCAAAGGTCACTGCGTCTGCAGGGACCAGCGGCCCTGGATAGTCACTGAAGCAGGCTAATTTGAACCTGTGCCTCATTAATTAAAGGCTTCATTATGGCGGGATGTGTGAATGGGACGTCAGTGGAGGAGAGAAAGAGAAGCACTAGAAAGGTTATAGACGTTACACTCAAAAACTTACTAGGTGCACGTGTGAAAGAGAGTGGGATCTCTTGTGCTTCTTTTAGGAAATCGCATAGGTAAAGAGAACAAAAAACGTGAGGAAAGCAGATCAGATGTCTCTGTGCATCCCTCTAAAAAATGGCAGCGTATCTCCAGATGTAGAGATGCTTCCTCCGTGGTCTAAATCGGTTTGGCTGTGTAATTAAGATGCTGTGGATGTTGAGCCCAAGCCACATGCTACAACACACAGTGCGGGAGGGCTAACGGCTCCAGACTGACTAAAAATTATGCAGAAAAACATCAGTTTCATCTGGAGCAAAAGTGCTGCCGCTGGGCGCTCTCACTGAGTACAATTAGTCCATATCATATGACACCATCAAGCTCTTCTTTGGGTTTAAAGATAAAGGGGCAGTTTTGTAAGTAAAATTAATCCTGTCAGTCAGCTTTTAGTACACTTTCCTTGGCTTTTCGTCCATGTAGAGAGAAAAGACAGACGCCCAGGTCTCATTTCCTACAGATGATGTCAGGAACATGGGAAACATCCCAGCTGTTTAAGCTCTAGTTTCCTTGCTGTAGACTTTAATCCACATAGAAAGAAGAATCTCCCTGGATTTGTGGGAGATGATGTTGTCACGGGTATGTGCTGTCCAGTAGATCCGTGGGATAAACATCAGCTCCTGTCTGCATAGCCTAGAAAACACAGAGGAAGTTACAATAAACAAAACTAAGTACTGTAAGAATGATGGAAGGAGAAAAAAGAGGGAGAAAGAGGCAGAGAGCCAATAAGAGAAACAGATGTTTATGTTGTGTTTTTGGAAGGACTCCTATCTATAATTAGGCAGAGACATCATGTCTTGCATAAAGAGTCATATTGAGGCTAAAAATGCAGATGGCAACCAAACTAGAAGCATACAAGTCTGTGTTTTTAGTTACCACCACTAAAAAACGTTCATAATAAAAATACAGACTATGGCGTGTCTAAGCATCTTTTTCCTCCCCAGTGAGTGAATTCACTTGTGCTATTATGTTTTTAAAAAACCTTTTAGGACCCGGTGGTAATGGTGTCCTAACCTATGAAATTGATTTTCTATGAAGTATGTGCTCACAGGGAGAAATTTCTGCACTCACTTCTCCACACTAACTTAAGGTGAGCTGTATTTAGAGCCAGAGCCCTAAAAAGGCACGATTTGACAGAAACGTGTGTTTTTTTAAGGGTGCTGTATTCCTCTGAAGCAGGGAAAGCTGTTTTTCTACTTATTTTTTCCGTCAGGTAGCAACCATGAGAGACCCCGAGACAGGTGCAGTCTTCATTTAGGCACATTTCTCAATTTCAGACAGTTAGAGGCCCTTGAACCCTCAGAGCACACAGCAAGATCACATGCACAGACAGCTGTTAAGGTTTATAAAATAAAATAAAAAAAAACACACATTTAATGAAATCAAAGAGAGAAATCAAAGCAGAAATAAAAAACAGAGATGCACAATTACTCTGCAAAAATAATTTCCTTAATGGGTATTTTCATTTTGTTTTCCCATTAAAAATATCTAAACATCCTTGAAACATAATTTATCAAAGGAGTTAAGAATAAACTTAATTCAATGTTGATATATCAAGTCTTAATTTAATATGCAAACTATGGTTTATGTAAATAGGTTTACACATTGTTATTAGAACACAAGACAAAAATACTAATTAAGAACAGATGTTTGTAATAGGACTATGTGCATTTATTTGACAAAAGGCAGTCTTGTGGATGAGTCCAAATGATAATAGCCTGCAAAGACAAAAGAGCGTCAAGCAAGGACAAAAACAGCATAGTGCGCATGTCTTCTGTTTCATATCCCCATATCCCTCCTTTACACTGCAAGGATGTTTGTGTCTTTGTTAAGCACTAGTGTGTGAACTGTAAAAGGCAAAAACAAAAAATAAACAAACAAAAAGATTCTTTCACCTATTAAACCTGTGAGCTCTGAAGGCCAAGAGCAGAGTCATGACAGACAGCCAGACAGAGAGACAGACAAATAGATAGACAGACGGACAGATGGCAGTGCTATTATGTGTTGGAGAACACGACCTGTAGGGAATCCTATGGAAATGTTTTAATTCATTATGATGCTTAATTAATAGGATGAATTACAATTGCTAAGCAGGAAAGGATTCAAACCGTAAGATGGAAGATTCTGATCCCTTATCAACACAGTACTGAATGAAAAAGATGGATTGGCCTTGGGCACAGCTGACAGTTTTCCAGAAACAAACTGTTGGATGAATCAAGTATTTTGTACAAACAGTTCTTGGTTTCAGCAGAGCCTCCATGTCTGCTTGATAAGACTTCTGGCTCTGTCTTCACTCTGTCTGCGCTGGAAGAGACACAGAGGCATTATTCTCTCTTAAAGACTGGTTCAAGTCCGTGCCTGAGCTCCAGATAACATTTAGAAGGCAGATCAGCCTTAATCCCACAACTTCACGATTGATCCAGGCTCAAAGAGCGCATTTTCTTTATCTGTTCCCATCATCCCTTCACAGTCTGAATTTTTCATGCCTGCTATCGCTTACGTTCATTCCAACCACAAGTACATGTAATACTGGTCCTTTGTTTCCATTCTCCACCATCCTCTCCTGTCTCACGTCAGTCTCTCCCTTCACGCTCCCATTGACAGTCGTCGATCACAGGAGCCCCCGCATTTCTCAGGCGTTTAGCCTTCGGCACAAAAACATGATTACTTCTGCATGAGAGTTTCCCAGGGAGCCGGTTGGGCACTGGAGAACATACAGTACGCAGGATGCGTTCAAAACAGCAAAGAAACACAAAACACTGAGATACATGCTCAAAGGCATGAAACATATTGACTGCATTAAAGGGACAGTTGACCCAAAAATGAAAATTCTGTCATTAATTACTCACCCTCATGTCGTTTCAAACCCGCAAGACCTTCGTTCAGACCTTTTATAAGTTTGGGAACATTTCAGTTACTTTGCTGTCTATGCAGGGTCAGAAAGCTCTCGGATTTCAACAAAAATATCTTAATTTGTGTTCCGAAGATGAACAAAGGTCTTAGGGGTTTGGAACAACATGAGGGTGAGTAATTAATGACAGAATTTAAATGTTTGGGTGAACTATCCCTTTAATTTCTTCTTTAATGTCAGGTGCAAACAAAGGCAGCATGTCGATCTAAGACATGTTTGATGCAAGTATACTCATGGTTAAGACAAATATTATACAAAAACATTTAAACTGTTTCCTTCCTATTGGTACAGTACAAGCATTTCAATTATTTTTTGTAAATTATTCATTTCAATTAAATATTTTTTTTAGTTGTGAAAAGAGTACCAAAAATGAAGGAAACAGAAGCAGTCAGCAGGGGAGAACTAGGTAAACAGAGCATAAGGTAAAAAAATGGCCTGGGGATGCAGACAAAGAAAGAATCATTGAGAGAGAGAGAGAGACAGAGAGACAGAGAGAGAGTGAGTGAGTGAGTGAGTGAGTGAGTGAGTGAGTGAGTGTGTGTGTGTGTGTGTGTGTTAACACCGCAACAAAAATGTTCCTGGATTCCCTTGGTGAATCAGCTAATCAAACGATTTACTGCCTCACCGCTCAACATCTCTACTAGTCTACCACCAAAGGCAGGACACAAGATCCTGTATATACATGCTTGTTTTTCCATTATTTTGGATTGACTTGTTTTTATACGGAGTTTATGATATTTTCTGTCTCCTAAAACCTAAACACAGACACGAACCTTTTTGCATTTTTATACTGTCATTATATTGTTGAGTTGTTTTCCTCATGGTAAAATAAAAATAACAGTAAAAACTGTAACAATGGTTATTCATGAGTTATTTATTTATCAAATAATTTCAACTTTATTTATGAAAAATCACATTTCAATTGCTACAGTGGAAATTCCAGTTGAAAAACTACACTACCCTTGAATCCTCAGGAGACCGTGCTGCCAATCAGAGAACTGCAGCAAACAAACCAGGATAAAAGAGTTATTTAATACTGAATGTAGGTGGCCCCACATCCAACTCTTAAAAATTAAAAACCAATATTAGTGATCAACCATTATATCAGCCAATCTGTTGTTAATATTTGCCATTTTTAATTATCAGCACTGGCCGATTATTTTTTTTCTGTTTGGCTTATAAGTGTTGTAAGTCACTTTCATTTTGAAAGTACAAAGAACCCAACACCTGAGCGAGCTTGGACACACAGGAGCTTCAGGTCTCTATTAGTTTAATGCCATTGTTTTAACAGTTTTCTCTAATAACTGAAAGGCAAATGCCATAATACTTTATTCATTCAGCATTCAGCAAACACAAATTTTTTGTGTCAAGTCTTTGAATATCTAATAAACATTTAAAGCAACAAACTTTGCAAACTGGCAAATCCAGCTGTTAGATCTTCTAGTGTGCATAACTCAGGAGTATGCATGAATTCAAGCCGTGTGAATTGGGATATATACTAAATTTGATATAGTTTTTGTTTCAAATCAAAGTTTGTAATATTGTGATTCATCTAAGAACTGGTTTGGTTTATGGTTCTTTCTGAAGATGAAATCCATATGGAAATGGGAAAAACTGCAAATGCTTCTGAAAAAGTGTGTGGTCACTGTCTCGCCCTATTACTGAAGACATAATTTATCTAGTAATGTTGCAAAGTAAACGTTTTCTAATGTGACAATCTCACATCGAAGGGCACAAATTCCAAGACAACTTCTCCTTACAGCCTGTAAAACCTATCATTATCTCTTAACTCCATTATGCACATCACTACAATAGTAAGTGATGATTATACAGGAAATTTATGCAACAAGAACACACTGTCTCACAAGACCGAAGAGGTTATTCTAATGCCTACCCTGAGGGGCCCTGCACTTATTCATCTTACTGTCCCACCACAAAGAGAGAAAAAGATCTCTTCTACTTTATCTGATCCCTGACCTCACAATCTATTTCTTAAGAGACAAGAGAAACTAGGCCAGCCAGAGGAAAGAGAAAATAACCCATCATAAACTGAATCGCAGACTTTATTGAGATGCTTTGTTTGGATAGTGTATTGTAATTTGTATGTGTGGTGTTTTGAAAGGATAGTTAATCCACAAATGAAAATTCTGTCATCATTTACTCACCCTCATGCTGTTCCACTTTCATTATTCTGCATTACAATAAAGATATTCTGAAGAATGTTTCAACATACAATGAATGTCAATGGGGTCCAAAACAACATTAGACATCACTGACTTTCATCACATAGTGAAAAAAATACACCAAGACATTTTTCAAATAAACTTCTAAGTTTGGAAGGTTTGGAACAACATGACGGTGATTAATGATGACAAGACTTTTCAGAATTTGCCCTTAAATAGTATGAATTCAAATTACATTTGCCAAAAAAAAACAACATAATCTGTGCCAAACCCAGTGAATCAGGTAGCGGATCATGTGAGGTTCACTATTTGAACTACCGCTAACAGTTGCTACATCACATCACTGCAGATTTCTAAGATGTTGAACTCTGCCCAATTTTCTTAAATCGCCAGCGGTCTCTGTCACTCTTGTCACTTAAATCTCCAACTCTCACTGAAAATTAATGACTTAGGGTTGCATTGTCGCTGCAAATCGCTGTCAGTGTGAACGTCTCTTCGCTGTGTCCTTGAGCACAGCATGTTCCCACAGGTTGCATCAG